AGATAATATATAGCTGGTTTATTTCATTTTTGGCAGCACCTGTTACATGAATGTATTTCACTCTCTAGGTCATAGAAAGTATGCCACATTTTTATTACGAGCTCACACGAATAGTTTATTCTGGGTTTATGTGATCACTACCTGCTCTCAACTTTTCTTTCCTCTAAGTGGCCTGACTTTGCATTCACAGAATACCATGGACATTAGAGCACTCACAGATTACAAGCTCCCTGTATCCCTATTAGAAAAGATTTAATGAAAAAAATTAAATCCTCGATATTTGCTCATAATATCTGGTGTGCCTTGAAAAACTGTAATAACTCTTAAGATAGATAATAATGATATTTTATTCATACGACAGGAGGAAGAACTGTATGAAATCGACATCCCTTTGAGATTTGTATCCTCTGTTGGTGCCAGAATACATGGTTTGGCTTGTTGGTTCGATGTATTGTTTAATGGGAGGTAATAGTTTGATCCTTCTTGTGGTTCCACATCCTTGTTTCGAAAAAGTTTGACTTGCATAAGTCTCTCTTTCTCTAAAAAATTATGTTATCATTAGTACTGTGCAAAGGTGGCTTACAACTGCTCCTGGTGCGCCCACAACACATTGGTACCAGCTCCGTTGTGTCTTGGAACAGCCTATTTATGTGATGCCTGGCCAAGAAATAACTGGTCGATTTCGTATGGTGGCCCATAAAGCTCAGAGTTACACACTTTATCTAACATTGTCAGGTTGGTCATGACAAATTCCGTTTGGGGTATTGCATGAATAGTCTTTTTGTACTGTTTTTTTTTTGCTTGTGGGTTAATTACCCGAAAAAATAGACCTTGTCAGCTTTATCAGAAAGAAATGAAAGGAAAGAAAGTATTTCTAGTAATCTAAAAAATGAGGAGTTCCCAGTTTTACTTGTTGCTCTCTTAATAACTGCATCCTTGAAGTGGGCTATTATTGTTTTAGCTATTTAACAAATAATATCAAATTTTTGTATGAGTTAAACGTTCATCACAAAATAACCTGAGGTTCAGCTTTTTCTTAAGAAAAGCGGGAAAACAAGGGGGAAAAGTTATATTTTCAAATAACAGACTTCTGTCTTTAATCTTAAGAATTGCATCTGCAAGTGGTGTAATTGTTGGTTAAATGCCTATCGTGGGTGGTGCCTGTAAATTTTGAAGATGACTGATATTAGTAATCGGGCCAACTCAAAGGCAGGTGTTGTGATTATTCCTTTTCTTCATGAACTGAGTTGTCTGTTCTTGTATTTTAAAATAGCTAAAATGTGGGGCCCTGGTGCTGAACAAGGAGGAATAATCCAGACGTCCTCCGGCAAACTAGATCTCAAAGAGCCTTATTATCGGATGTCTCAACCTCAGGCGTACCCAATGTCGCAAGACCAGCAGTCAAATCAGTTACTACAAACACAGGTGACAAATGTGAAGAGTTTCAATTAACTTGTCTTGTACATTTTACTGCTTCAGGTAGAATAATTTATGTCTTAGTGTATCTGGATTGAGGGATTGGGTCAATGGATTTCTGGCATGATTGGTATACTGGAATGGAAGTTGGTAGGAATGGAATGATTATGAGAAAAGAATGAAACAATTTTTGTCATTGATGCGATGCGTTTGGTATGCAGAAGGAATAAGACCTGAATGAAATGATATTATCATTCTTTATTATAATTTATTACTATTTTATAGAAAAAAACAATATTTATATTGATGTTATTTTTTTATATAGGATAATAACAAAATTATTTTATTTCTTAAAAAAATATACTATATTTTAATAAATAAATTTTTGTATTGTTACGCTCATATATAATATATAATAAATTATTGAATTGTGTATTCATATACATATTAACTAATACAAATATATCATTACATAAACCCCTATAAGTATATGTTGCCGAATATTATTTTTTTTATTATAATTCGATTTACGAATATAAATATATAATAAATATGATGTATAAAAATAAAATAATATATTTTTAAATTATATATAAATGTTTTTTTTTTAGTTTTATTTTTATATAAGTATTTAATATATCTAATTAAACAATAAATAAAAGTAAGTTTTCAAATTTTTTATTTGAATTTTATTTTTAAATTAATTTAATTTAAAATATTTTAGTCATGATTTAAAATATATATATATATATATATATTATACTTATTTTTTTATTATTATGTGTTAATTTATTTTTTGAAAAATTGATTCCTACAAACATGGGAATGAGAAAACATTCCATTAACTATAGAATGACTAATCCCATGGAGATAGGTTTTGCCATTTCCATTGGAATGGTCATTCCTTTCCAAAAAATATACCAATCATGGGATAAAGAATGAGTAAGGGAATGATAATTCCATTCCCATATCATTCCTTCATACCAATCATGCCACCTTAATGTCCAAGAAATTTTACTCCTTATGCAGAGGGATTTCAAAAACCTAGTCATTTGAAATCCAGGATTTACACATGAAATTTTTGATGTTTTAATTTACTCTTTGTCACTTAACATTTATGTTGCACATTACAGGATTTACATATACAACCCCAGGATGAAGAGGGCTCGGATTTAATGCAACAAGCATTGTGATTCCCAAACCGAGTCTCAATCAGAATTACCAAAGGAGCTGCAAGTGCTGGTCGAGATTATAACAGCTAGCGTGTTAATCTCTGTTGTGATTATGTCAGCTCTATTTTATTTTATTTCATTTCTGACATGGATTACTACTAATGTGTGCGCGTTGTTGTTAAGCTGATGAAGAGTTAAAGTCAAATTGAAATTTTGATTATTCTGTTTTTTTAATGCAAAAGACTTTGGGGTCTACTGATGGTTTTATGATTGGACATTCGATGTACTATTGGAATGCATTATATTAGCATTTGGAGAAAATTTGAGCTTATTGTTAGTTTGGTAATGGATATGCTTTCATCTTTGAATTTTCGTATGCTAAAGAGAAGCAATGGGGACGTCATGGAGAAAAAAAGAATTAAGAATGTGGAAAGAATGTGGAGTGATTTGAATATTTGTAAAGAAATGTACCACTAGAAAGATCACTAGATTACGAATGTGGCTACCGATTGGCTTCGATTAGTACGTTTGCCGCTCTGGTCGGAGCATGGAGGTTTATCGGTGGACTTTTAGGGCTTGAGGTTGAGTTATCATTGGCCGGCGGGCTGTTGAGAGGTGCGTTGGTTGGCGGATGGTGAGGGACTCCGGCATCTTGTCCTTGGTCGGGGTGTGGCCGTTTGTCCTCTCAGTCGAAGGTGAGTTGATTCGGGTTCGTCTCGAGAACCAGGTTTAGCTTCTGTATAGGCGTTCGATAGCAGTTTCGGGAGTTGGGCCTAGGAATTCGGACATTACTTGGATTGACTGTCTCTCTACTAGTTACGATCTGTTTTATTGACTGGGAAAGGGTTTTTTTTGAGTATTAAATTTGTGTTGTTTTGTATTAGGACTTGTATTTTTGGTTTAGGCGTTGGCTCTCGAGTGTCAACTTATTATCCTGTTGGAATCACACTGGGGTATTACCCTGTTGGGGTCTTTTTAGTTTAGTAGTTTTTGTGTTATTGTTTTTGCGTCAGCGAGTATTACCCCGTGAGGGTCGGCTCTAGGCGGTCTTTTGACTGTCCTCCCACTTTATTCATCAGTTCAACTATTGGCTGTTTGAATTCAGCTGGTGGCTGTACTTCTGTAAATTATGTAGTTTATATATAATATCTATCGTTTCGGAAAAAAAAAAAAAAATATATCAATTTTTCATTGTCGAACACATTTTATATGTATCCACAAATGTGGAAGTGTGTGTGTGTTAATGAAAGATGTTTAGTGAAATTTACAAACGTGATGCGGATGGAACATATAGTGATTGCTAATTAAATGAATGGTATCGAAGGAAACATATGCTCTGACATATACAATCATCATGTAAAAATGATCTTTACATGGGAGAGGAATCTCNAAAAAAAAAAAAAAAAAAGGAAAGAGAGAAAGAAAGAAAGCCAGTAGTCCTAAGACTGCGTCACAACTTGTATTTAAGAAGAAACAAGTTTAACCATAGATTGTGCATGAATAGCTGGTAAATTAGATTGACAAAAGCTTTGCCAAGAGTCCTGCTTGCTTTCCTCATTTTCAGTAAGAGCTCCATGCAATGAGACTACAATGCTTCTAGCAGCTTCTCTTGCCTCCGGGAGTTTGTCGTTCAACAAATTTGACGCACTTTGGATCAATGCAACCAAACCAAATTCCTCCATACCTTTCAGATCCTATACAAAAAAAGGCCAATCAAATTCACAACTTTAAGTAGCTTTATAAAAATTACTGTTGTGGAATGCTTCTACCACTTGTTGTTCAGCCTAATTGCTTTCTAAGTTAAAAATTACTTACCTTTTTTTTTTGTCTAAAAAAAAAAGGTCAAACTTATGGGGAATTTCTTGCAATTAACCTAAAGATGTGCAAATATACTAAATCACTTCAGCTATTGCTATCACATACCATCTTGGAGACACAATTAGAGATAGATATTGCAGCTTTTGCTCTGACTCTGAGGTTTGAGTGTTTAATAAAGGCACTGAGCATGTGGAGTAAAGGGAGTGGGGGCATGGCCTCCACCATTGCCAACAATGCTCTGTCTGCCTCCTCACAAACAAATTTCTTATCTTGGGAAGCTTTTAGTAGCAGCTGCAAAAACTGTTTGCCACAAACAAACAAAAAAAAAAAAAAAAATGGATTCGAGATTTACCAAAACTATCAAATTATCTCTCAAATTACGAATGGCCACTTGAAGTCGAGATTTATATCCATGTAATAAACGCCCTTTCCATCTCGGTTCAGTTTGCAAAAAATATAGTGTTCAAAGATCTTTCTTTTATTGACAATATGAATTTGAACCAAGTTATAACTGAAATACTTGGAGTTTTGGGCATATTTATACCAAATGGTCAATAGCATCGCGGGCTGATGATTCAAGTAACTTCACACCAAAGGCTTTGAACAAATCAGAAGAAGCCATGATAGAGGTCTTGCACAATGCACTTCTTGGGTTCTTGATTGTTTTCACCATCACTAAGACCACTTTGTCCCTACGGAACACATCAAATTTTTCTTCAAACAAGAAACTAAAAAGTGAAAGTAAAGATCAGAATAGAGGAAATAGAATAATAAAACTTACAAGATTGGCAGCAAGAGATTGGGATGGTGGAGGGAAAACCGCCTAACATCATTCAGTGATTCACAAACTTTCAGCCAATCCTTGGACTCCAGCCCTCCAACAAGACCCTGAAAAGTTTCACCAAAATTTCGAATTAATACAACGAATTATGGAATTTGTGGTATTCATTATGAAACTCAAGTCTGGTAATTTCAAGAAATCAACAAGTGGGGAAATCTATATTAAAATGTGGGTCTTGAAAATTCAACATTTTCAAGGGACAAAAAAGGAAAAATTATTGGGATAAATCAGTAGAGTGTACAAAAAGGATACCTATTCAACATCAAATCCTAATCTTCATAATTGACAAAACAATACATTTAATTCAAAGAAACCCAATAGAAAACCTGGATTTGGGAATCTGGGTCTTGAAAGGCTTTAAGATCTTGAGAGGAAATATAATCAATGGAGGCATCCACGGACGATTGCTGGGGCAAAGGGATTTTGTTTTCATCATTCACACCAACAACAGGCAATTGCTTTTCTTTGTGAGATGGAATTATCGCCTTTGCTTGCTTTTTGGGCTTATCGCAAAGGATTGGCATCGCATTATCAATAGGCCTCAATGCCATTTTTTTGTTTCCTGCAGAATTGTTCCACACGAATTCGAAATTATTGGTCGCTTTTACGAGAGAGAGAGAGAATTTTGTGCAGGATGAATATTTGGCGAGGAGGATTGATATAGTGAAAAAGATTCGGTAACGGTCATTTGCGCTTTTTGAATTTTGTGAGGAGGATGACGAATATTTGAATAAATAATTTCACAACGGTCATTTCCAGAATAGTGCGGTTTCGTTTCTTCCAGCTATGTCCGTTTATAAGGAATTGCGCTAGCTGTTATTGCTTATTTCTTGAATCGTGCTATTGCAACTATGTTGAAAATGTTGTAATAAGAGTTGCATGTAGAAAGAGAAAATATAATGTAGGAATCCTTAGACAAAGATATGTTTAATATTACAAATGTTGTGTCCAAATTCAATTTGAGGAAAGCTTAACCGTGTTCGGTTTTGAGATGTGGGATGTCTTAATGAAGACATTAAGACATCTCCTCTTCATCGAATGCAAGCTTGCCTTATGAGCACCATAAAAAGTGCATGGAAGCTCACGGGAAAGACACATCAAGAGAAAAAAAGAAAAGAATACTTTATATATACATAGTCTCTTTCATCCTCTACAAGTCTAAGAAAAGTTAAGGGTTCTTGGCAACTGAGATTTTGATCGAGGTGAGTGTGTTAGATAGTGCAGTCTTCACACTTTGAGCCGTCTTATATTGGGAGAAAAGGCGTAGTACTCGTTGCACAGTATCGGGACGTCTGTTTCTTCAAAGCAAACAAATTTTCTGTGATTCGGCTATATGTGTTCTATGACAATATAGAACTGTCAGTTAAGTTATTTATTTTTATAATAAACTTATTTATTTACTAATAGAAATCTGGTTTCATATCACGTTCCTGTGGTTGATGTTTGTGGTTTCTATTTTCAAATTCTTTATACGTATATGTGTTGAAACTCATTCTTAATTTGCCTTTTACAATTTATTTTTACAACAATCTTGAAGAAACAAATTTTGTAATTAAAACGAGATATTGCAAAGGTGTTATGCGTACTTGTTTTACTATTTTTGTCTTTTCAATTTATCATTATGACAAAGTGGTTATGTCACCATATCAAATAATGTCATGTTGAATTCAAAAGTCGATTTATCCGGCTTACCGAAAATATTTTCGGGGCAAATTTTCAAACGTTGGCAGCAACGAATGAAAATTTGGCCTACGATGAAAGGACTTTTGACGATAATTCAGATGGCTAGGCCTGAACCAACTGACAATGATCCCAAAACAACTGAAATTGCTTAGTGGAACGAGAGAGATCAAATAGGTCGAGGAGCTATTTTGTCAGCTTTGTCAAATACGCTCTTTGATGTATACTGTTTTGATACGTACACTGCAAAGTCCTTGTGGGATGAATTGGACAAGAAATATAATACTGAAGAGCAAGGTCTCGAAAATTATTCTGTTTCTAAGTTCCTACAACATCAGATGGCTGAAGGAAAGTCTGTATTTGAGCAGACACATGAATTGATCAACTTGGAACATTTCCTTGCTGATGCTGATATGGAACTTCCTGAAAAGTTTTTAGTTAAGTCGATTATTGATAAATTTCCAATGTCTTGGTAAAGTTTTGGAATGTCGTTGAAGCATAAAAAAGGGAAATTAACCTTGGATGGTTTAATGATATCAATCGACATGGAAGAATAACATCGAAAAGAAGGTCATAATATGCCATTTGAACCTAAGGCTAATATGATAATGGGGAAAAGAAAAATGAACCATTCAAATGTAAAAATGGCCAATAAAGACAAGGCTAAGGCGAAAAATAAGAAACCCAAAGCAAACAACCATGTTGGAACTGTGGACAGGTTGGACACTGGATTAAAGATTGTCCGACAAAAAAAGTTAAGGTCAAACCTGGACATGTTGAATAACTTTTGGCGAATATGGTTGTTGGGGAACCTAGCAATGGTAGCGCTCCAGAGACAACAATTGACGGGTTTGTTTCTTAACAATCTGAGCTTTTGAATGTCTATGAACCGTTTGATTGGTTAATAGATACTGGAGCAAATGTACACATTTGTGCTGATAAATTGCTTTATGTGTCTTATCAGCCAATTAATGAAAAATCCGTAGCGATGGGAAACTCAAGTGCGGCCAAGGTGTTTGGGGTAGGATGTGTGGACTTGAAGTTTCCTTAAGAACGCATTTTATCTCTGCAGAGGGTGCACCATATCCCAACAATACGGAAAAATATTATTAGTGGTTCTATGTTAGTCCAAGAAGGTTATGAGCTTTCGTTTAAACTGAATAAAGTTGTACTTCAACATTATAATTTATTTATTGGCAAGAGCTATTTGTCTGATGGACTATTTAAAATTCGTGTTGATTATGCTGGTTCGGGTAGTAAATTTGATTTTACAGATTATGTTGTTATGAATGTTACAAAAAGTTCTTCTGTATGGCATAAGCGTTTTGGTCATTTAAATTATGATACTATGAAGAGAATGATGAATCTTAATTTAATTCCAAAACACGATGTTGAACGTAATCACAAATGTCAAGTATGTGTTGAAGCAAAGCAAGTAAGAAAGCCTTATCACTCGATAGAAAGGCATTCTAAATTACTTGATTTAGTACACAGTGATATTTGTGAGTTTAATGGTATTGTGACTAAAGACCTTAAAAGATACTTTATCACTTTTATAGATGATTATAGTAAGTATTGTTTTGTTTATCTAATTAAACATAAAGATGAAGCACTTGAGAAATTTATTATTTTTAAAATTGAAGCTGAAACACAAACTGGTAAGAAACTTAAAAGGTTAAGATCAGACATAGATGGAGAATATGAATCTAACCCCTTTGTTGAATATTGTCGAAATTTGGCATAATTCATGAAGAAACTCCTCCATATTCTCCTCAATTCAATGGGGTTGCAGAGCGGAAAAACAGATCATTTAAAGATATGATCAATAGTCTTTTGTTGAATTCTGGATTGCCTAAATACATGTGGGGAGAGGCTTTGAATACGACTTGTCATATTCTAAATAGAGTCCCTCTGAAACACAATGAAATAACTCCATTTGAATCATGTAAAGGTAAAAAACCTAGCTTAAATTACTTTCGTGTGTGGGGTTGTCTTGCAAAAGTTCTAATACCTGAGCACAAAAGGAAAAAGCTAGGACCTAAAACTATTGATGCCGTCTTTTTGGGATATGTGATAACTAGCTATGCTCTTAGATTTTGGTTGTTAAATCAGAAATTGTTGGCATAGATGTAAACACAATTGTTGAACTCCGTGATGCTACATTCTTTGAGGATGTTTTTCCTATGAAAAAGGGAATACCCAAAAATGATGTCTTGGATGTTACATCATCATCAATTCTTGAACATGTGGAAAGGATGACAAATGTGGGGGGTAATCTAAGTAGTTCGGATTCTTTAGAATTGGATGAACCCAGACGGAGCAAACGAGCTAGGATCGTTAAGGATTTTGGAAGTGATTTTATCACTTACAACATCGAGGAAAAGCCAATAACTTTCAAAGATGCTATGATTTCACCAGAAGCTAAGCATTGAAAAGTAGCTATCAAAAGTGAGATTCACTCTATTGTCTCTAATGGGACATGGGAGTTAGTTGAACTACCTCCGGGGTGTTATACAATTGGTTGTAAATGGATTTTAAAAAAGAAACTTAATTCTGATGGAACCATAGATAAGTTTAAAACCAGATTGGTTGCCAAAGGTTTTAAACAGAAAGAGGAATAGATTACTTTGATGTCTATTCACCTGTTGCTCGTTTAACTACTATCCGTGTGCTCATAGCCTTGGCTTCTGTTTATAATCTCTATATTCATCAGATGGATGTAAAAACTGCCTTTTTACATGGAGACCTTGATGAAGAAATATACATGGATCAGCCTGAGGGATTTATAGTTCCCGGTAACGAGCATAAAGTTTGCAAGCTTGTTAAATCTCTTTATGGTTTGAAACAAACACCTAAACAATGGCATGAAAAGTTTGATAAAACTATTCTATCATTCGGCTTTGTGATAAATGATAATGATAAGTGCATATACTTTAAGGTTATAAGTGATAATTGTATAATCTTCTGTCTGTACGTAGATGATATTCTGTTAATTGGATCTGCTTATGAAATAATTGAAGAAACTAAATCATTTCTAAAGAGTACATTTGAAATGAAGGATATGGGAGAAGCAAATGTAATTATTGGCCTTAAGTTGATTCGTTCAATTAAAGGTATATCCATTTCTCAATCTCATTATGTTGAGAAAATAATTGAGAAATATGGTTATAAAGATTGTAGAATTGCTACAACTCCATATGATCCATCTGTGGCTCATTCAAAAATGAAAGTGGTGTTTCTGTGGCTCAATAGAGACACATCCAAGTTAGACTAAAGTCTACAATGGAATTAGTGTCTGATAAGGTTATGGCCGTTGACTTTGTTAATTCTAAAGACAACTTGGTTGATCCTTTGACCAAAGGACTTGATCTAGCCTTAGTCCAAAAATCCAGGTGAGGGATGGGACTGAATAACCCATATGAGATGCATCTGCAGTAGAAATCCAACCTTCGAAGTGGAGATCCCACAAGGAAGGTTCAATGTGGTATAAACAAGTTGTTGAATGTATCATTGTGCACCTAAAATTACAATACTGATACTTTATATATAAAGTATGATGAGTTCTTTCCCTAGCATACCTGGAAAGTGTTGTTAACTGCAAGTATAGTAAGAGTTTATCTCTGAATGGGGTCGAGTTTTCTAAACAAGATGTAAGCAGTGCATCTTTGGAGATGCCCAACTAAATGAGTATAGTTCTTTTGCCACGACTAGGGGAAGGGGTTATTGCTTGAAGATACTCATGAAAGAGGATCTTGACATATTGCCTCAATGTGTCAACCCTACAGATCAAAACATAGCCTATAAGTTGTTGTTACAAATGAAAGTCATTACACTCACAACATGATATGCCGACCTGCTGGTCTCGAGAATGAAGATAGCCAGCAAGTTGAGTCTCCAGTCAAAGGATTTGCAACGATTGATAATTTGGCGCTTGTGAATGTTGAAGGGTCGGTTTCATTTCATTCGTAGAATTATGATAAACGATGAACTGCTAAGTCATTGTTTTGACTTTTGACGTATCTTACATTATGGTGATTTTGGTTTATGGCAAATATTTTTTACAGAACTGGAATGGCAGGTGTTCCTGGTACTGCTAGCGCCATTTTTGGTGCTGTGAAAGATGTCAGAGCTAATGTAATCATGATATCCCAGGTACTTTTATTCTCTCTCTCTATCTCTCTCTCTCTCTTTCTCTCTCCCATAATGCATAATGTGGAGTCTCACTCTGGATCTTATCGATTATTTTAACACAGGCCAGTAGTGAACATTCCGTGTGTTTTGCTGTACCTGAAGATGAAGTAAAAGTTGTAGCTGCAGCTTTAGAGTCTAGATTTCGTCAGGCGCTGGATGCTGGTCGTCTTTCTCAGGTACTTTTGCTTTTCCAGAGTGTATGAACCAATATGAAAAGATTAATGCTGAAGTTGCAGTTATCTCCAATTGCATCCAAGATCAATATTACCTGATTTTACATTAATTTCTGGATTATCTGCGGCTTTTACAGATTGCAGTTATGTTGGATTTTAGACATACGAATCAATCGTATGCGCAGCGGAATTTTAAAATTTTCTTACCAACAATGAAGATTCGGCTATAACTATTCGATACGATCCTAGATCGCGTGAATAATCAACGAAAACTTACAGTTTAAGCTTTGTCTTCAACTATGGTATCCACGCAATCCAGATTCCGATGCAGATCCAACGCAGTGAATCCTTTCCGGTGAAGACGCTAGGAATCCTCAGTCAGAAAGCAAAGAGAGTTTTTGTGTTTTTTTTACGACGTATCTCAAATATCTGATCTCTTCATCTGATATGAGATAACTGCCTATTTATAATTAGGCTACCTTATTATATGGGCTTTAGGATAACCTATAGCCCAATAGGCAATTGGACCTAATCCAATTAATGATATAATTAAGTCTAAGTCCAATTAAACTTAATTATATATTTTCTATCGAATAGAAAATAATCTAATTATTAAAATTAAATATTCCAATCTAATTGAATATTTAACACTCTCGATTCACTCTTAGACGGAAAATGGATTGCATATTGTGTGACCCTATAGGCCTTCATATATTGACATAAATCCGATTTATGATCCTCACGAAACTCCTAGACTGCGTCGAAGGACGAACTCAAAATATGAAGTACGTTTACATAGACAAAGCAAACAAACCTTTGATGTGGAATTCAATAGTGATACGGTCCCTTCATTCACGACCCACTCGATTAAGCTTAAGATTTGAACGTGTGTCTATCCAAACAGCTTAATCATTTTATCTCATCTCACTGGTTGATTTTATCAATTATATTTGAACACCATTTCAAATATAATCACGTGCATTGGCCAATGACTTTATCAACCCAGTATAGAGAAAACGAGTGTTCTCTCGAAACTATATTCGAGGAATGAATCCTATCTTGGCTCAACTACCAATTCCATGTATATCGTGACCTACCCAACACAAGCCCGTATCTACCCATAAGGGCGTAAGCTTTGGACTAGGTCTAAGTAAATCACTCTATACATGAATTGCCTATTGACCTCAAGTCAAAGGACTATTACACCATTCCACACACCGATACTCCCATAGACACATAAACAAATGGTTTCTCGGTAGGGTATGCCAATACTCTCCAAAGTATCCATGTGTCCATCACGAATAACAATTATTCATAGCAGTGAGACATACTATATTCTCCAAGAATGTGATGCAGACCACATGTCAATCTATCGCGTATCATTAATATCCCTTTCTTAATGATCATCGATTTAGGCGATTTTAGAGTTATACTTTATCAATTAACATCTCACTCTGTTAATGACAGTATCAACTCAAGGGAGCAATTAATTAATAAATTGCAAACAATCAAACAATTATTTAATTAATTGCAATACCATAATTATAATCCAATATAATTATTACTATGATCCTGTATGTATGTCCTCAAAAAGATTGTCTCTAGGACACATATACCAACAATCTCCCACTTGAACTAGAGGCAATCACCAATGTATCTAATACACATTTTCTTAAAATGACTATTGTGCTCAACTATGCACAATGGTTTGGTGAACGAACCATTCAAGTAATGCTCATTTTGAACACGTTCTAACTTATTTCTCCTCTATCAATTATCTCTAAATAAATGATAGCGCCTTTGTACATGTTTATTTTGTTGTTGGATCTTGGTTCCTTTGCCCGTGCAATTGCACCGTTTTTATCATAATATATATATATATTAGATAAATGGCACTTGGAACTACCCCTAGTTCATTTGAGAACTCATGTATCCAAACAGCCTCCATAGGCTTTTAATGTAACAATGTACTTGGCTTTTGCGGTTGAATTCACAGTGGTTTAATGCTTGGAACTCTTCCAACTCACTGCCTCATCATTGAAATGAATGTAAGACTATTAAATTATTATTCCCACCATAGAATAAAATATATTCTTTAGTCCATCTAATGTACTAAAGAATAGTCTTAACAGTTTTCCAATGCATCTCCCTAGGATTTTATTGGAACTTGCAAGTGATACTAAGTGTATAAGTCATATAGACCTCGTACATGTCATAACATGCATGATAGACTCCATTGCATCGCATAAGCATATGAGATCTTCTTCATGCGCCCAAGTTTGGCATCAACGGAAAGACAATCTTTCTTTGCCAACTTGATGTCATGACCATTGGAATATTTCTTTTTGTTAGAATTTTCCATGGAGAAACACTTCAGTACCTTGACTATACACGTGGATCGTGAAAACTCTAACACTCTATTAGGTCTATCTCGATAGATCCTAATTTCAAGAGTATAGCAAGTTTCACCCAAATCCTTCACAATGAAGGTACTTGATAATCAATCTTTCATGAACTGCAGATGAGGAACATCATTTCATTATCAATATGTCACATACATATATGATAAAAATAATATTATTCTCATTACGTTTACTATAAACGCATAGATCCTTCTTACTTCTCACAAAGCCAAACAATTATGTAACTTTGTAGAAACAGACATTTAAACTCCCAGAGGCTTGCTTAAGTCCACTATTGGACCTTTGTAACTCGCATACTAATTTGAATATGACTTGGATATAAAACCTTTAGGTTGTATCATATATACATCCTCCAAAAAATGATTTTAACATCCATCTATCAAATATCATAGTCATAGTATGCAGTTATTGCAAGTAAAATCTAAATGGACTTAATCTTGGCAATTGGTGAAAAGGTCTCATCATAGTCAATGTTTCCACATTGACTATATAACCTTTATCAACCAATATTGCCTTATAGGTTTGTACTTTGCCCTTTGCATCTGTTTTCTTTTGAAAACTCATTTGCATCTAATAGGTCTAACCCCAATTCGCAAGTCAATCAAGTTCTAAACTTGATTCAAGTACATCGAGTCCATTTATGATTTTATGGCATCAAGCCACCTCCCTGAGTCCATGTCTTACATAAACTCAGTATAGGTCCTAAGTTCATCCCTGTTAGGAATCTCCATATCGTCGTGATCCTCCAAGAGGAAATACAATCTAATTAGTTCACGACAAGTTTCACTCGACCTACGGAGTTCAATAATTTGTGTTTGTTGTTAGACATTCTGATCATGAAGAAGTTCTTGTGCGTTAGATTTTCTCAACAATTAGAGGGTTCTCAACAATCACGTTTGCATGTGTTTATTGAGAATGAACGACATCCAAGCCATTAGGTATTGGTTGTATATGAGTGTGCTGCACTTCTGCAGTTTCACTCATATTACTCCCACTAGCTAGAAGTTGTCTATCAAATGACAAAATTCTATTCAGGGAATCATCAATACCTCCCTCTAAATCTTTGTCAATACCGAACGACAATTCTTGAACCTCAATGTTATTTTGAATTTCTTGAACTTTTCAAGTTATATCACAACACGACCTTGTTCCTTGAAGAAATAATATTCTCCTAGAAACATCGTCTATCTAAAGACAATTACTCTATGTTCCCCAGGAAAATAGAATTAGTATCCTCGTGTTTCTTTGGATAGTCTTCAAAATAACATTCTTCATTTTTAGATTCCAATTTATCAATTAAAAGTTTCTTCACATATGCTAGAAAACCCCAGGTTCACATATGTTGAAGACAAGGCCTCTTGCCACGCCATGATTCATATGACGTCTTTACAACTGATCTCAATGGACTCTATTCAAAATGTAAATCGAGTTCAATTAGGCATAACATCAATGATATGTGGAAGAGTAATGAAACTTAACATGGATTTAACCATATCTAATAAGGTTTGATTGCTCCTTTTGAAGACTTCATCAAATGAGTCTTAGGAGGTATCCACTACAATTTGGACTCCATGAAATTTCAAGTAATAAAGAAACTTCATACTCAAGTATTCTTCTCCTCGATCAAAGCGAACAGATACTTTAGTCATGTTGTTTCTCTATCCCAAACTTATACTTCTTGAATTTTCTAAGGCTTTGATTTGTGTTCCGTAAGACACACATAACTCAACCTTTAAAATCATTAGTAAAGATGATGGAGTACGAAAAACCTCTTCTAACTTGAGTTTCGTAAGGTCCACATACATTAATGTAGACCAACTCAAACATTCTCTGGCTTTTGTCCTTTTCCAAAAAGGACTTATTGGTCATCATTTCATTTAAGACAAAATACACAGATTTCATGTAACTCAAAGTCACGTGATGTTAAGTAATCTAATTTACTTAACCTTGATAATAATGTCTCATTAATATGACCAATTCAACAATGCCATAAGAAAATGGAGATTTTCGTATTACTTTAAACTTTTGTTTAAACAAACAAATTCTATGCAGTGTTCGCAACACCCTGTGCCTTGAAACACACACAACCTCTCTTCCAATGTCATTTTCTTTGCAGAAAATACATATATCATTGAACAGTTTCAGCTTTTGTTCATCCTTTCATTAGACTTCTAGGTTGTAGGTCTGGAAACAATTTCAGCCTATTTTCTACTTACTCTTACCCTTGGTAAGATTTAGCAGAAGAACTCACTATGAGTACAACCTTTCCTAAGAGTGAATGAATTGTAAGTCTTGAGCATGTGCAACTAAGGCATCGTAGTCCTCGTATCATTTCATATAAAAATTCACAATGAAGTTAAAATATGAAAATTGAGCGACTATAAGATGATATTCGAAGCGACATGATTCTGGAGTTTCATTCCAACCAAAGTCAGACTCCCAATCAGTCCAATCATCTCCACAACATGCACAAAGACTTTATCCCATCTTGTAGCCTGCATTTGAAGAGATTTCCCAACAGTTCAAACTCCAAGGTTTGAGACTAAGGTCATAAAGTCTCTTTAAATGCTCTCACATTCATTGGGATTCATCCTATCATATTGTCTCTTCAACCTAGTTGACATAGAGAACAACACGACACATTACACTGAAACTTTATCATCTTAATTCTTCTTATGGGTATCATGGTCAAACGCATAGTACCCAGAAAAAGTCTTATTAGGTACGATGGGCACCTTTGTGTCAAACACATACTCAACTCGTTTTTACCACAACAACAACCACAAAAGATGCAGTCAATCCAGATAATTCAGTCCAGTCAACATATTCATTTCCATCATACATTTCAATGATAAATTCAAAATTCTATTCAACTGAGAGAATCATATAGAAGAGGAATATAAAACAACTTGATCACATTTGTTAACTAAATTAACAGGACTTTTAATTAATTTAGCTCCCACTATTTTCACATACTCTACGACCCCATCAGAAGAGTACGGACTCATATCAAATATAGTCATAGTGAGCCAAGATCCACATCCATCCTATTATAGTCCCAGCTAGGGCTGATCACTATAATAGATGTAGTAGTAGGTCTCTAAACCAATTGTAAACAATTACAACTCTTGGTTGATCAAATCAAATTTGATCGACGTCCTTAGATCATTCCGACGCTAGGGCGACAAGAATTAGCTAAGTAAGTCAAAACCATCACACGATCACAAACATATGTATCTATGAATGAGTCTGAGCCTCGTAGACCTAAGCAAACACTAGGGTGTAAATACTTTTGGACGAAGAGGTTTTTGCACTCATTCAATTGTGATGGGTGACGTCATGCATCGAAGATGAGACTTATATTTTTATTAGGGGAACTTTCGAACGGGGTATTAAATATCAAATATTCAAACAAGATCCAACTAATAACACATATCGGGCGCCGCCTACCCGAGCATAATATAACACGGTCCGACAAGTACTGGGCGCCGCCTACCCAGACAGTATATCACGCGGTCCGACAAATACTGGGCGCCGCCTACCCAGACAATATAATCGCGGACGCTAACTAAAATAAATAAACTATTTAATTTATTTCAATTAGACAAATAGGAGCAAATAATCCAATTATCATGCATTTATAATATTTCAAACACATAAGATAATAACAATATGTAATCAAAATACATATAAGTAAGTAATCTAATTACCCATGAATGTATTCAAAATACATTCATGTAAGTAATCCAATTACTCATGCATTTATGTGGTTCTAAACACATAATCATGATGTATTCAAAATACATAAGCCAAGCAAAATAATGGATCAAAATATGGTGCTAATGTATTCATCAAAATTTCTAAAATTTTGATTTGCTACAAGCTCGAAACTTCGTTTTGTTCATTATATATTTCAAAAATATTTCAGAGTCATTTGACAATGGTTTTTAGTTTGAAATACACCCCAAGGATTAATTTCAATTTTAGGGATTTTTTCAGAAATTTGAAACAAGCAAAATAACTATTATTTAAGATTTTTCAAAAATCTGATTTTGAGCAGCCAAACAGCCCTTAGTACTTTTTGAAATAACAAACAGGCCCTAGGTCAATTCCCGAAATTACACACAGGCCCCAGGCCAGTTTTGAAAATTATAAATAGGCCCTAAGGACCAAACTGCAATTTCGTAGAAGTTCACAAAATTACAGATTTGCCACAGGGCCCAATTGAAATAAACCAAAGTTTCTAAAATTGCAAATTGGCCCCTACTATTCATCAAATTTTCGAAAACAGGCCCCAGCCCTAATTTTTCTTTTCTCGTCCGTTCAAGCCTGCCCGCCGTCGTGACGCGACTCCGACCGGCTGCTCATTCCCAGGAACTCGTGAACCCGCCGGAGACCTCCTTTGGCCGGTCAAACCGCCGTTTCAGTCGGTCTCCCCCCCCCTTTTTTTTTTTTATTCNNATTCACGTCCGCCATTAATGGCGGACCTTCGAGCTCCAAGCTCGGATTTCCGGCGTCCTGTGCGTCGACCCTCTCTAGCCGCACACGTTCAGAGGAGCGTGGTTATGGGACGAGGCCGACGACAACAACCAGCCGCGACGGGGGCCGCCTAGCGGCAGCAGCGGCGCGACAGGGACTTCCCAGCGGCAACGACCCTTGGCCGCGTGAGCTCCGGTGGCCAGCCTCACGACGCCGAGCGCCGGCAGGGACAAGAATATGGAAATCGGGTGAGAAGATTTCGATTCCAAATCCCAGATTTGTTAAGGTTCGAACATGAATTGACGAGAGAGGTATTGGTGATAGCGACTGTACGGGAAATCCAATTCCCAGATTTGAAGATTTGATCAGAACCAAAATTAAATCCCAGATTTCGAAAGCAGGTCCGAATCAATTCCCAGATCTTACGAACACGATCAATTCCAAATTGATGGGCAACATACAATTACAACTTCCCAGAAATTCACGGACAAAATGAAAGATAATTCCAAATTATTTTGCAGTTGTTCGTAAATCAAATTCCCAGATTTTGATGTTTATCCGTAAACAAGAAAGCAGCAACCCAAAATCACAATCCTAGTTTAATTGCAATTAAAACGATTTTAATTGTAAATTAAACTTGAACGCAGTTCCCAACAAATCTAATGAAAATTAATTCCAAATTAATTATTTTAACAAGATTAACACATATTTTGATCCATATAAATCCAATTTAAAATCGAATAGCTATGAACACCGACCCGATGCTCTGATACCACTGTTGGATTTTAGACATACGAATCAATCGTATGCGCAGCGGAATTTTAAAATTTTCTTACCAACAATGAAGATTCGGCTATAACTATTCGATACGATCCTAGATCGCGTGAATAATCAACGAAAACTTACAGTTTAAGCTTTGTCTTCAACTATGGTATCCACGCAATCCAGATCCCGATGCAGATCCAACGCAGTGAATCCTTTCCTGTGAAGACGCTAGGAATCCTCAATCAGAAAGCAAAGAGAGGTTTTTGTGTTTTTACGGCGTATCTCAATTATCTGATCTCCTACATCTGATATGAGATAACCGCCTATTTATAATTAGGCTAAACCTAATTATATGGGCTTTAGGATAACCTATAGCCCAATAGGCAATTGGACCTAATCCAATTAATGATATAATTAAGTCTAAGTCCAATTAAACTTAATTATATATTTTCTATCGAATAGAAAATAATCTAATTATTAAAATTAAATATTCCAATCTAATTGAATATTTAACACTCTCGATTCACTCTTAGACGGAAAATGGATTGCATATTGTGTGACCCTATAGGCCTTCATATATTGACATAAATTCGATTTATGATCCTCACGAAACTCCTAGACTGCGTCGAAGGACGAACTCAAAATATGAAGTACGTTTACATAGACAAAGCAAACAAACCTTTGATGTGGAATTCAATAGTGATACGGTCCCTTCATTCACGACCCACTCGATTAAGCTTAAGATTTGAACGTATGTCTATCCAAACAGCTTAATCATTTTATCTCATCTTACTGGTTGATTTTATCAATTATATTTGAACATCATTTCAAATATAATCACGTGCATTGGCCAATGACTTTATCAACCCAGTAGAGAGAAAACGAGTGTTCTCTCGAAACTATATTCGAGGAATGAATCCTATCTTGGCTCAACTACCAATTCCATGTATATCATGATCTACCCAACACAAGCCCGTATCTACCCAAAAGGGCGTAAGCTTTAGACTAGGTCTAAGTAAATCACTCTATACATGAATTGCCTATTGACCTCAAGTCAAAGGACTATTACACCATTCCACACACCGATACTCCCATAGACACATAAACAAATGGTTTCTCGGTAGGGTATGCCAATACTCTCCAAAGTATCCATGTGTCCATCACGAATAACAATTATTCATAGCAGTGAGACATACTATATTCTCCAAGAATGTGATGCAGACCACATGTCAATCTATCGCGTATCATTAATATCCCTTTCTTAATGATCATCGATTTAGGCGATTTTAGAGTTATACTTTATCAATTAACATCTCACTCTGTTAATGACAGTATCAACTCAAGGGAGCAATTAATTAATAAATTGCAAACAATCAAACAATTATTTAATTAATTGCAATACCATAATTATAATCCAATATAATTATTACTATGATCCTGTATGTATGTCCTCAAAAAGATTGTCTCTAGGACACATATACCAACAAGTTATTCCAAATTGTAGCATTTTGGCAGCGGTTGGCCAGAAAATGGCGAGTACCCCCTGGAGTTAGTGCTACACTTTTCAATGCTCTCGCTAAGGTTAGAAAACTTGCATTTTTTTATTTTTATTTTTTGTGTGTGTATGCATGCATGTGTGTTTATTTATATCTTCGTCTCCACCAATAATAATATAAAATTAAAATACGATTACCAGCTGTATTGATCAGGTGTATATAGATTCTTAACCATGTCCTTTGCAGGCTAATATAAATATACGTGCTATAGCTCAAGGCTGCTCTGAATATAATGTCACTGTGGTTCTCAAGCGAGAAGATTTCATAAAAGCATTAAGAGCAGTGCACTCGAGATTTTATCTATCAAGGACTACTATAGCAATGGGCATTATCGGGCCTGGGTTGATTGGTGGAACATTGCTGGATCAACCCAGAGATCAGGCTTTTAAGAAAAAAATTCCTTTTATTTAATTAGAGTAGTTAGCATTTGAATATTTAGACTCGTCAAATTTGTGTGTTAGCGTAGATAATCGTTTATACATTTCATTGACTGTGTAGGCAGCAATCCTCAAGGAAAACTTCAACATTGATCTCCGGGTGATGGGTATTACAGGATCAAAGACTATGCTCTTGAGTGATACGTAAGTTCGATAAATTTTACGGTTATCATCGTGCTTTAAATAATGATTCAACTTCTAACAATTTCAAGTTCATATCAAGTTTCTATAGTTAATAAATGTATCATCTCACTCCTATACCAATTCTTTTATCATGGAGATATTTTTCAATTAGGAACCTCACCCTTCCCAATCTAAATAAATCTGCTTGACTTTTTTTTAGGGGCATTGACTTGTCAGAATGGAGGGATCTCCAAAAGGTGAAAGGGGAAAAGGCGGACATGCAGAAATTTGTTCAACATGTGCACAGGAATCATTTTATTCCGAATACGGCTATAGTGGATTGACTTGCTGACTCTTTAATTGCAAGCCATTACCATGACTGGTTGCGTCGGGGGATTCACGTGATTACCCCGAATAAGAAAGCCAATTCAGGACCACTTGACCAGGTGTAATAAATAATACTCTAATACTGCTGCAGCTACAATTTTTTGGTTGGTGAATTTTGCAATTTCGACATTTTTTTTACTGAATTTGTCCAACAATTCTATTTCCTTTGGACGATTGATGTTTTTATTTTTTAGTTTTATGCAATTTGTAACTTCTTTTAATTCCCTCTGAAATGTAGTATTTGAAGTTGAGGACTCTTCAGAGACAATCCTATACGCATTACTTTTATGAAGCAACTGTTGGTGCCGGTTTGCCAATCATTACCACCTTGCAAGGCCTCCTTGAAACTGGGGATAAAATACTGCGAGTTGAAGGCATTTTTAGGTTTGTTTTGTGAAATTGTGAATATTTCTAGTTCTGATATAAAAATAAGAAATAAAAAATAAAAAGTAAAAAGTTTGCGGCATTGTTTCTTGAGGGAATTTAATGTAGGTCGTAAATTCATTAGGAAGGAATGCAAAGATGCTTTTGTTTACTGACTAATAGTTATAATGTGTTCGTGCAGTGGAACCTTGAGTTACATATTTAACAACTTTGTTGGTGCCCGGACTTTTAGTGAAGTGGTGAAGGAGGCAAAAGAGGCAGGTTACACTGAACCAGACCCCAGGGATGATTTATCTGGAACTGATGTGGCTAGGAAGGTATGACCTGTTAATTTTGTTCTTTTTCTTGTTTTGGATAGTATCTGTTCTAAATATGATTATCATGCTTATCTTTGTGTCGTCTTCTGCAAAATCTGTTTAAAGGGGGAAATGATTTAACTGTAAGCAAGCAACACAAACATACGTAAAAAAAAAAAATGAAAAAAAAAGGAACGGTGCCTTTAATTTTCTGATACGGGTTCTCATGTTCTTTTATAAACAAACTTCTAGCTTTGATTTGCAAACGCTACCTAAGTCTGATTTTCATTTGAATAAACACTTGTTCTGAAATAAACTTGCACGGAATCTCCCCCTAATGTATCTCTTTTTTCCTTTATTTATTTATTTTTAACTCATGAATTAGCTCATACACTGGCTGAAATCCGTGCAACCTGCACACAACACCTTAATTTCACTCTGAAAATTGTCACACCTGGAATCTCTGCCATTTGATACCTTTATCTCTAACTTGAATGCCTATTAATATATATTTTGCTCTTATAAGTAGCTTCTGTGGTCCAGGTGATAATTCTTGCCAGAGAATCTGGGTTGAAGCTAGAATTGTCAGATATCCCTGTGCAGAGCCTGGTGCCAGACCCATTAAAGGCGAGAGCAAAATTCAGTAGTGTAGCTGCTCAACAGAAACACTATTTGCTATCTGATTTGACTTTCTAATGCTTTATAATTTCAGGGTTGCACCTCGGCTGAGGAGTTCATGCAGCAGCTTCCTCAATACGATGAAGACATGGCTAAGCAAAGACAGGAGGCTGAAGTTGCTGGTGAAGTAAGAACTTTTAACTTTTATCTCTGAGTGGAATTTCAGAAAAGAAAACATAATTTTTGAGTAAAATGGAAGCAAACCCAGTTAGGGATGGCATTATCTGAAAAGTTTTTCAATGGACCTTCATTGTTTAGGTAGATATGAAAAACATAATAGGAAAAACATAGAAGAAAGAATTCCGTTGAATTTATGCATTCCTAAACTCATGAGCTCAACAAATATGTGAAGGTTTTGAGATATGTCGGAGTGGTCGATGTCATCAACAAACGAGGAACTGTCGAGCTACGCAAATACAAGAAAGAGCACCCATTTGCCCAGCTTTCAGGATCTGACAACATAATAGCTTTCTCAACTCTGAGGTATGAAAAGCAACCGCTGATTGTTCGTGGTCCAGGTGCCGGGGCTGAGGTTACAGCTGGAGGAGTCTTTAGTGACATATTGCGGTTGGCATCGTATCTTGGTGCACCTTCATAAGTTCATTGGCTTATGATCCACAACTTGGAAGGCCTAGGATTGGTTTGTGCTTGGCTCGTTCGTCTTTCTTCTCGGTCGAAGCTGGAAATTGTTTTACTTTTACATTTCTTGATTCCAATGGGATTTTGCAGCTCTGATGATTTACTAGGTAGCTATTGTTGTTTTGTTAATGAAAGGTGCTAAGTTATATCTGCAGACTAATGATCGATTGTTTTAAGAACTGTTGTTTATCTGTTTAGTGGAGGTTGTATGAAATGAGTATCCAGAGACATAAGTGGCTTGTATGTTGGCTAATTTCCTCTGCAAAGGAAGATAAAAGTGGACTGCTAGTTTTTTGTGCTCAACACATGCTTTCAGCTTTTTGTAAACCTCTTTAAAGCCAAGGCTAATGATAGGGAAAAATGATAGCAGATTGTTTCTTAAGTTTAAACCATCTTCATGTTGCTCAGCAAACTATGATCGATCTTCATGTGATTATTTGGCCTCATTGATTAGTTTTTGCATAATAGTAGCATTAAGCACATATAAACCTCATATATATGCACATGTAAAGCTCAGTTTCATAAAAGCTCCAACAGACCTTTAATTTCATACAGAATCAAAGTAGGGAGAGACAATTCAGAATGTGGCCAGTGCCTAAAGTTGAACTCTCAGAAATTACAAAACAGAAAATACTATACCTTGCTTTCTCAGGACACCAGCATAGATGAAAAAAATAAAAAAAAAAAAAAAAAAAAAAGAGATCGAAATGTGCAACAAAACCTTAAATTGTGAGATTGACAAAGACCATTTCTAGGCGGTTAACAGTATACTAGCTTGGAAAACTCCAAGTTCATCCGATTTTGGGACCAAGGTAATACTTCGGGTCTCTGAAAAATTTGGCAACAGTCTCAGCTTTCTCGGTTGAAAGATCAGTATTCTCCAAAATGTATTCTTTTGATGCTTTGGCTATTGCTTCTATGGAACCAACGGCTTGGTTGAGCTGCAGGGCGCGTGAGAAATATATTTTAGTAATTTTAGGCAATAGTTGGTTGTAATCTTAATAAACTGGAGAAAAACAAAGTAAACTGCAAGAATCAGGCATTAAATTAAGCAACCGCATTAGCATCATGGCTATCAATTCCAGGAATGGATGTAACCACTTTGATGTACAGGTCCATGGACTGCACTGACTTTTCTCTCTGAAATTTTATCAACATTTTGTTATTAATATGCAAAATTTAAATAGCCAACTACAAATCGCACGATAAAGGTACAATCGACATACCTCAGCCTTCAGTTTAGCTATTGCATCCTGCCTCTTGCAAACTGCAGTGGAATGCTCGGTATTGAATTCAACGTATGCACGTCAAAGTTCTGCATAATCTTAGGATACCAAACACATCCTTACCTCCACGTGCATGAGCTACCTTTACAATCTTTTCAAACCCCATCTCCAAGTCTTTCACAGGAATGAAAGTCGGCTTACCAAACTCCATGCCGTATCTTACACAAACGTGCATCTTGTTAACCATTAAAAATGGAATTCCCAAAACATGAGATAAAAGAATAAAATCAATAGTTGTACTAACTTGAAATAAGAACGTATGAAGGAGTCATTCTGAAACTTGGTCGGGAGAGTAACAACCACATAGAAGTTGGCAAACTGTCTACTCATCTTCGAAATCCTACAAAAGCAGGTGAAAATTTAGAACGACAAAAATCCAGAAGAGTAGACTATGATCAATAAATACCAGAGCTTTTACTTGCTAAAGATTGGTTCAGCACACTCGGCATCCCAATTAGTCACAAATATGAAGGCTACAGAAAGACCTACGGTGTTAAAGATGAAATCCTGCAAATCAATTAATACAGAAGCTACTCAGGTAGAGGAAAATGACGTTACCAATAAAGCTGCATATGAGCAAGGTAGAGATGTAGAGTAAAAACAGGAGCAATCGGCACAAAATTTAATCTGTAAGAGTTTGCATCAAGAAACGAGGAGATGAAGTTGATGAAGGATGGATGCTGTTCGTCTTTCCATGCTGTGCTCATGATACAATCACCATTGTAGCCTGTAAACCATACCCAAATCCGGATTCTCTCAATCAAAACATCATAGAATTGCAAAATTGATATCCATCCGAAGCATTCGTACATTTTGTGCTTGGTTAGCATTTGGAATTGCTTTCTCTTGAGAAGACTTATTAGCACTTAATGCTAACTACAGTTTTTTTCTCTACAAACATACTACCAGAGGTCTTGATTGTCTAATTCACGTTTGTTTCGATATCACTGGATGTGTGTTCAGATGGAGTGTTGTGAGAGAGTTTTATGGTGTACTCATCCTTTTGTAGGTTCCTTTGAAAATCCCATTGCATATTAGTCTGTAATGTAAAGAGATTAAAATCTTGCTGCCAAATTTCCAAAACTGCTCGACATTTTTGTATCTTTATAAAGTTTGCTTTAGGTAATATGACTTGTCTGGAAACACAGTGATAGCAAAGCTTCAAAATATAAACTTTCCATATTTGTTGACCACTGTATATATATGAGCTATAATATTGTTAATCCTTGTGACATTCAGGTGTCGTTTTTAGAGCTGCCTTAAAACGATACGAGTATATCCAGAAAGATGGGAACTGAAGATAAAGAAAAGGATCTTAGCCATCTATCAAGATAAAGGTTTTATTCTTTGCCCGAGCAAGAGACCTAATTAACTGGAATGGCAAATACTTCCCTGGAAGTTTCACCTGGTACCACTGCTCAAGATTGCTTGAATAAGCTCATTTCCCAATTTCCAGGCCTTGACGAGATACGTAACTGTATGATACTTGCTCTAAACGAGGAATACACCTCTGAGTCTGCTGTTGTTAAGGATCAAGACGAGTTGGCAATCATACCTCCTATTAGTGGAGGTTAGATATGGTGTACTATTGTCCATGTATGAACTACAATTGTAAAAACATCACACTTTAGGTGTTTTGTTTGTCTTATAGTAACTTGTCCTACAATCTTATTGTATACATGTTGAAAGTTCAATTTGCAATCATGTTCCAAATAGTTTTGCTAGCATGTCAGATTACATCTATTTTTCATACACTAGTAGAAAAAACATTTTTTATAACGGGTAAAAAGGACTTTTTATAACGGTTTTGAACTCGTTATAGTTTCAGACATTATAGAAAGTACGAACTTTCTATAACGGTTTGTGACCCGTTATAAATTGACTGCTATTTATAACGGGTAACATAGACCCGTTATAAATAGTTAATTTACCTGTTATAGACTACACTATTTTATAACAGTTATAAACTTAACTCGTTATAAAATATACTTTATTTATAACGGACTTTCATTTAGCCGTTATAAATTTCTTTTGTTTACACTACAATTTATAACAGGTTAATAAATACCCGTTATAAAAACAATGCATTTGATAACTGTTAAATCATTACATAAATACCCGTTATAAATAATGAACAACTAAAATGAACAATTTTTTAAATCGTAGGTAACACCTGTTATAAAATAGGGTGCAATATTCTATTTTTTCAAAAACAAAACTACCATATCAACAAACAAATAGCAAAAGAAAATATCTACCATTACTTCAATGCCAATACACCAACAGTATAGATCAACTTCACAAACACAACAATACCAAGTGAGAAATAGTTTCACCCCACATGTTCAACAAACTACGAAGCCTGTCTAACAAAAGTCTAATCTTATCCTACTTCACTAATGAGGTTATATCGAGAAAATACTGAGTCCAACGTCTCCTTACATCATCAATATCATCACTCGAGAAGGGTTCTTCCAAATTAAACACCTGAAATTTGAAAAAATAATTATAACATATGATCAAGACGAAAAGATAGAACAAATTATTTACTTGAAAATATACTAGTGCTTGATATTTACAAATTATTTTTGTTCACCATTACCTTATCAAAGTTGTCAGTAACGTCAAGTGTGATGATTTCCAACATATATCTCATAACGAAATACCCGCATTTAACACCTCCAGATTGTTGCCGACACTTGAAATATATGAAAAGAATTGTATAAAATTAATAACTTACGAAAAATAATATTATATGTAATGATTAAATATATTTCGAGTACCAAAAATGAAATTGCAAGTTGCAAAATAACATTGTTTAAGAAATAAATTTACCTTTGGATAGACCAATTCGGTTTTCTGTTTGTATGGATGATTTCCCTTCATTATCTGATATGCGGAAAATGCCCTAACATAATAAATGTAAAATAGAGAGTTTAGTTTCAAAATAAATTTTAAAAAAATAGATCAAAATCATGTAACATAAAACATACGTCGTGATTTTCTGGACTATATCATTCTTAAGCTTTTTTGACAAGGAACAGAAGCAAACCACCCTATTCTGTTTAGGGCATAGAACAATCAACTGCTAATGATCCCTAACATTTCAAAAAGAAGAAAACATAGTTGTGTTGTTAGTTTATACTTATTTGCATGGGACAATAAGAAATGGCATGAAAGTGAAGTTACTTACTGGCTCAGATATGGTGCAAGAAAGCATTCAAAATGTCCATTTTCCAGTCTTCCTTGAATGTAATTCGTTGCATGATCTTTATTGTTACCATTGCTTTGGAGTGAGAGCGGGCACATCAATCCAGATTTACTTTCTCTGCCAAATTCTTTCAAATTTTTGTGCAAATACCTATAAACAACAACAACAACAACAACAACAACAACAACGACAACAACAACAACAACAACAATAAGTATATCTAGTTTCATAATATAAAAAAAAAACAATAAGAAAAAAATGGTTAAAAATTACTCACAAATTAAAGAACTGCAGTATAGATACACAAAGTCTTTGATTTGTTAAGAGCTCCATGATATCATTCTGGCAGACATACAAATCCATTTTCTCACCGACAATCCCTGACTCTACAACTACATGGACTGGTTGTGTAATGTCAATCGTTGCATTCCACATAACTCTGATCACATCCGTCTTAGGTTTTGGATCCATTTGCTTTTGTTGGAAAGAATCCTATATAAATTAAAACAAATCATTAAAAAAGAGCAATTATTATTGAATGCATGTAGAAGAATATATTCAGGAAATATATCGATAAAAAATTTATTTACCTTCAGATTTTTCGCAACTAGATTTCTAGGCCAAACAATGAATTGACTTGAAGCATCTCTCACGAAAGTGACCTCATCTGTCGGGTATGGCACAAAAGCATCTTCAACTATAATCCGCGAGACCACAACCCGTACGTCTTCATCCTTCATCATTTGGTGGTGCACGGTTGGCCCCAAATTGTGGACATGGCCATATGCCACTAATCGCCTTTGGGGGTCCTCCACATACAATTCATATTCCTCGCTGTCTTTGCTCACATCCGAAGCTGGAGCGCCACTTCCTTTCGTGCTCAGGATTACTGGAGAGCTAGTTGAAATGTGTGGCTGAGAACCAAGTTGCATCATCTTCATCACCTCACCTTTTACCTGCTCTGCAACTTCTTCTTTCACCTGAGATATAATGGCATCCAACTCCTCTCGTGACACCATTCCTGTACCAGCACTTGGACGATTTGATCGTCCAAAAAAAGCCTTAATGCCCACGCCCTTTCTGACTCCCCTCACACGACCAGGATGCTCTGGCTTTCCTATTGCTTCCGCAAGAATATCATTTCTACCACAAGGTTTGAATTTACCCTGGGAAGATTGTTCTTCCAAAGAATCCTACAATTAGCACATAAAATAATATTTAAAATGCATTATATGGAATAAAAGTAATGGATTGAATTTAGTATCAGTATTTACTTACAATCTTGTCACCAATAGTTTTAGCCTCCTCTGAGGTATAACTTCCATCTAATTTCAGACGAGCCCTTTTTCACATCTCATG